GCTGTAGCTACTTCCACCATCAAATTTTAGTTCTTCACTTCTCTGAGTCTCAGCTGGAGCCTACATGCTCGCCTAGCCCTCTAGCCCACACATGGTCACAATTTCAAAGGGCCCACAGTGACTTTTCTGGGCCTTTCCCAGATGTTTACAGACTGTGAGTATACAAAATAAAATCTTACTCAGTGTGTGTATATATGTGTGTGTGTGTATATAAAAAACTGTAAGTTCATTTTAACCACCTTTTGTGATTGTCTCTACAGAATGCATTTGTGTGTGTGTGGCCTCAGCACACATGTGATGGTTTGCATGATTGAATCTAATAGTGCCCTGTGATTGTGCCAAAGCACATATGCTGTGTGAAATCCAGATGACTGTCTCGTACAACTTGTCTTAGTTGGTCTTCACATATTGGGGTCTCCTGTGTTTGGAAGTCTTGTGACTGTGTTACCATCACAAATAAAACATGAGAGCAGCATGCAAGGGAAACAGCCATGCGTTCATTACAACATAGGATTTTGTCTGGTTGGTCTGATGAAGCAGTACTTGGTGTTTATTGTTCCCTGTGCTGGAGTAATAGACATTACACTTTGAAGTATTAAATTGTTCTGATCCCAGTTCACTTTGGTGATAAGGTTGGCAAGTGGACTGATGCTTCTCTCAAATTTTGCCAGATAGATCAGCGAAGCTAATTTTCTGGGTTGTATTTTAGCTCAGTCATGAATAAAATGTAAGAGATTCCACTTGCTTTCATTGCAGGTTTCACTGCATGCTCCTTCTCTGTGCTTGTCAGATCCAATTATGCCACTGGTACATCACATGCAGCAATATTTGCCTATACTATAAGCCATAAGTCCACACCATTTTATTTAGATAGCTGTACTTTTTAAAGATTCTTTGTTTCTTACATTTAAAAGTGCGTTGTGTAAATTCAAAAAGTCATAGCTTCCTAAGTAACTACACAAGCCTCTATGTGCATTTTGATTATAAACTGGTAAGTAATAACAGTTTATTGGTAGGAATATTTCCAATTTCTTTCCAACAAGTAACTTTGGAGAAATGAGCCATAAGTTAAGGCCCTAAATTGGCAGCATCCCCAAAGCATAAAATAAAAGTTTACAGAAGTTTTGCAAGTGTCCTTTCATTTTACATAATTCTTCATTAACAATGCCTGTTACACAGTGCCTGTTATAAATCTCTCATTAGTATAACAAGGCGAGAAACTTTATTTTAAGATACTTCCTCCTGTTATTCTATTCTTGATCAGCCTACTCTGTGGAACTGAACATTTAGTTCTGTCATTCATCCCTTTATTTCACCTTCCCAGTACATTTTGACCAATTCCTATGCCCCGGCCATTCTTCTAGATGATAGAGATGCAGCAGTGAACAAAACAGGAAAGGTTGCCAATCTCATGAGGCTTGCTTTCCAGAGAGAGGAGCTGGGTGATGAGCAGTTACAGCCAGTGAATATTATTTGAGGTGCACATCTGGAGGAAGGCATGCGTACCCACCCAGACTGCCTACCTGACCTCACCAGCTGGATAGCTAATTGACCATAATATAAACAAAACTCTTGCTATCTTCCAACCTGTGCTACTAGAACAACTTTCTGTTCAGTTAAATACAAGACCATCTTTGAGTTATTAAGACAAAAACCTTTGTGGTCAATTCTTGTTCCTTTCTCTCTTACAGCCCAATTTTCAGAGTATTCCCAACAGTGTAACACTTGTGTCTGCCTCTACCTCCCTATTTTACACATCATTCCTTGTCTTTTGCCAGAAAACTGCAATAGGCTTCTATCATACCTATTTCTTTGCAGCCTTGTAAATAGTGGCATGCCCCCTTGGGGCCTGTCTATCCTCCCCTGTAGGTGGTTAGGCAAAGCTAGGCTGGTGATGGTGAACCTACAGCCTGCGTGCCACAGCAAGCTGTTTGTGTCATTGAAAGCTCTAAAAGATC